TTTCCTCACTAAGTGCAGCGAAGTGGTTGTATCAGCTGGAATATTCCGAATATTTGGTCCAGATGTTGCAGAGCTCCCGTTGGTCGCAACAAGCAGTGGTAATCATGGCAAAGTAAGTAGTCTACTGAGAGATAATGACTTATCTAAATTTTCTGTGGCCTTTGATATGGCATCACCTCCACTAGTAATGATATCCTTCCATTATATTTAGGGCCTGTTCTCTTCAGCTTAATTTCAGTTTAGTTCAGCTCAACTCAGCTCCGATCAGTTCAGTTACTAATTTCCTTCTCTCATAAACAATTCAGCTCCCTTCAGTTTAGTTCAGCTCCAATCAGTTCAGTTGAGTTCAGTAAATCAGAATAGGCCCTTGGGTTATTTTATTATTGATCTGTTGCTGGTTGACACTACAAGTTTAAGTATATTTAACTTTACCCCCACAATGTCCTACTAAATTTGAAATTTCAAAGTATCAATGAAGTAAAATACTTCATCTGTTTTATTCAGCCACGCTTGGTAATGCATTACTAATTAAACCATTAAATTGTTGCTAGTACACAATTATAGATTTTGATGGTCAAATATGCCTCGGCATGCATGAAAAGTGCTTGAGGGAGTTGTAAAGACTAGTCAGAGAAATTTAAGAAAAAAGTCCTTGGTGCTGCCTAAAGTAAACACATATGAGAGACTAGGGAAGGTATGGGGGTCTAGATCAAATGGTCAGAATAACCTTAAGTTGGATTACGGTTTAGAAGTGGTATCATCAAGGGCCCTGTTCTTGGTACATATTAGGCCCTGTTTCTCATGTCTTATCACTTTTTCATTATTCTAAAAATCAACTTCTCTTATTGATACACTTGAGCATATTAGGCCCTGTTTCTCATGTCTTATCTCTTTTTCATTATTCTAAAAATCAACTTCTCTTATTGATACACTTGAGCATAAGGTTGCCGTGAACCATAATAAGCATCACTTTTTGCATCCTACACTCTTGGCTCTTATTACAATTTATCCTAACCCACTTTTTACAAGTTTGCTCCTCCTATGGGTCTTCTGTATCCTCATCTTTATTCTTTAATACATGCTATCTCTGGAGACATTGTCAACTTAATTTCACCTTAATTTATCAACTGCCTTATAAACTATATATTATTTGGTTGCTTCCAACTCCAGTAAAAAGTGGTGGTATTTCACCTTCACAAGTTAGGCATTTCCTGATAAAGTGATTAGGCATTTTAAATGTTCATCAAACCTTCTTGTAGGGTTATTTTCAAACACTATTTGCTTGCATCGAGAGACTCTTGGCGTTCCTTAAAGTTAAGACCATAGTGCTTCCAGCAGCAGAGGAGGCAGGATCTATATGGACAGATCGTTTTGGTTTCACAAAGATGACGCTTGACCAGGTAACACTTTTTGAATGTCTGCATTTTTACCCCCAAAACTTCTACTGTTTTGACATCAAATAACAATTACTTACTATTGCTGCAGATTCGTGAGTTGAAGAGAAATTTTTGGTCATTAGTACGTTTCCAGGGAACCTCTATGCTTCACAAGTTGGTTCCAGATTGCCGTGAATTCAAAAGTCTAGCTGATAGTTAGCTTGTAAATTAGCAGAACTTGGTAGAAGACCACATTTTGGGAATCCAATTTATCCATATACAGGCAGGGATTGCATTTTTCGTTGATTTCAGAGTAGATTTCCAGTTTTAGGATCTGTTTTTCTTCAAATTTATGCAGAATGGTTTAATTATGGGCATATTCTGTATAATTTTTTTTTTTTATTATATATATATATATATATATATATATATATATTTGTTTTTTGTTTCAACGGCAGCAAAAGCTCTGTAATTATGCTTTTCAGCTACTTAACAGTTAAAGGTCAGTTTTTACAGTAAAAAGAAAAAGAAAGAAGAAAGGAGGGTAGAGGGAGAGCTGATGGGTGGGTTGTATTATTGTTTAATCTCCTGGATTGTGGAATGGAGTTGTTTTATCTCCTTCAGTTTTAAAATAGTGCAAAAATTTTTTCAGCTGCTCAGCAATTTTTGAGCCTATGATAAAGTTGTGTTTTGCTGTGCAAAAAGCTGATAACTGTTGCATGGGTCAACTGATTTATTTTTTGAGTATGGTTCATGATGTGTAATTGCGTATATGTCCTGTTCTACTTTTATACGTAGTACTTTAAAACATAACTGTATGTCTGTATTCACGTATTTGTATGTTTTACAAAATACAAAAAAATTAGTGCTTGAAAATTATACGTTGTAATGCATCAAACAAGTATGACGACTAAATTTTTCTTTATAAATTTTTGGGAAAATTGATTTCATTTGTAATCAGACAATAAAAAAAGAAACATAAATTGGTGGGTACAAATTTCTTATACTGTTGATAATTTAAGTAAGCTAGCGTAGGTTGTAAATATAAGTACTAAGGGTCTGTTCTGTTGCTTATTTCCAGTTCTGTTCAGCTCCAATCAGTTCAGTTCATTTCCTAATTTCCTTCTCTTATAAAATATTCAGTTTAACTCTAATCAGTTCAGATATTTTAGTTTAGTAAATTAGAACAAGTTCTAAGTATGAGCTAGTTTTTTCCCTCAAAGTATTGCCAGTTAAGATTTACATTAAGATCCAATTCTATTATTTTTGTTTATTACCACTTACTAATCAGGACGTCAAGAACTTAGTTGTCATAATTGTAGAGAAAAAATGCATTTACTTATAGCACACATTTTTGGAGTGAAGCAGGGAGGCGGGGATTCGCTCATACGACGAAGATACTCCGTTGTACTGTGGCCTCTATGCGCATGCATGGAGTTACGTCTAGAGATTGCATCTACCTTTTTGGTGATTGATTTTAGGTGTGTAGGGGTGCCACACTGCTACTTGTGCTAATGTGTTACTTCAATTCAATGGATAGGTGAGTTAGGGTGAGAGTGGGAGTTTGGGGTTGGTGGGTTGGGGGGAGGGGGGGATGCTTGTGATGTATTACATGCATGGGATCAAGGGCTATGGAGTAAGTTGGCAAAAGTAGCTTAGGGTGATGATGGAAGGTGGTGGAAATTTCACAATGAAGTTTAACAATTTGTTACGGAGTATTTCATTATTGAAATTCGATTCAAACATGTCAAAATCAGGCTACACGCCAATCAATTTAACATCGAATAATGATATGTTCAATTCACCTTATTTACTTATTCGAACTCATTATCTTATCTAAATTTACTTAATCTTATTTGAACTTATAAGACCGAAAAAGGTGAACAAAACCGGTCCTAATTTTAGTAATTTGAATTGGGTCAAAACATATTGGCCGGTGCTATGATATCCCTTTTAAGCTAAATTACTACAATGTTATAAAAACCAATAATTAGTTCAAATACCATCAAAATCAAATAGATTGAATTACCACCATATTTTGAGAAGAAGTCAAAATGTACTTGCTGAGAATGACACCCATACGCATGTAGCACCTTTCATCATTCTCCCTTTCTGTTGTTTAGCGTATCCATCTTCCAATCTTGTTTGCTGCCCATTACCCTTTTTCCTACCCTCTTTACTTTCAAGCAAGAAAAGATAAATGTCTTATTAATCTATATACTATTTCATTATTTATTATAAATAATAAATAATTCACTATTGCATGAATTCATTTCTTTTACGCTAATCACCCTACACTACTCCTCACAAAGTCATCACATGATCACATATTATATAAGAAATAGTCACTTCCCTTCATGACTTCATCATCTTTAACCCGTAAACGAGCCGAGCTTTAGTCATGAAACTCAAAACCATCTCTTGGTTTTGGCTCTTAGCCTTTGTCATTGCACTTCTTTCTATTGCATTCACCCTTTTTATGAACTCTTCATCCTCTATTTCACCCCTTGTTATTAAACAAGCGCGTACTTTTGATGACTTCCTAGGCATTTTTAAGGAATTTGGTGACCGTGTTTGGAGAAGACATCACCACCATGACCAACACGACCACCACCCGAAAGAGCCACACGAGTCGTGTGGTGAGTCAAAATGGGGGTCTAGGTTGCCGTCTTTATACCGTGTTTCTCTTACTTTAACGGTAGATTTCCATGGTTATGGCAATTTTAGTAGTGTACAAAAAGCAATTGATGCTGTGCCAGATTCTAGCTCTTCTTATACTCTCATCATTGTAGACTCCGGCATATACAGGTTAGTCCAAAGCTTAATTATGTACTCGGCATTTCCTCATTTTTTTTGTTTTTATTATTTTTTATTACTTACAAACATTGACTTTTACATTATTTACATACCCTATTTTGACTGAATTTAGTGATTTATAGTTAATGGAAAACATAGTTATGCGAGATCCCATTAGATTTATATCGGTTAATGCTTTTATAATATACAATTTTTGTAATATTTACTTATTAGTAATTAAAAATATATATTTATGATTGAATTAATGCATTAGTAAGGTCCTGTTCACTTCACCTTATATTAAGTAAAAATAATTCAAGTTCAGCAAAAACAAGTTCAGTTCATTAAAAATAATTTCAGTTCAATAAAATTAGTCTAGTTCAGTAAAATTCATATTCCTTAAAGAAGAATTATAATAGAAAATCTGTAAAAATAACTTCAGTTTATCAAAAATAATTTCAGTTCAGTAAAATTAATTTAAGTTCAGTTTAAATAAGTGGGGAATGGAAATGTTGCATATAAAACAAAAAATATAAATTGAAATGATAGATAAATGAAATTTAATTAAGAGCCATGTAGCTAATGACCTAGGTCAAAGTATAATACTATCTCCGTTTTATTCTATTACAACAATTTGACATAAAGTGTGAGAAGAAATAATTTAATCATTGCATAAGTAGTAGTTTATAATATATATATATATATAATATATATATATATATATATATATATATTATTTATTTATTTATTTTTTTTGGAGCTTAGAGTTGGATGAGTTAATTGCGTGCATGATATCTACGTATGATGGCAGGGAGAAGGTGACGATTAATGCTAAAAACCAACTTGATAATCCAAGGTAAAGGTTATGAAAACACAATAATTTCATGGAATGACACTTCGAAATCGACCGGCGGTACAGCCTCTAGTGCCTCAGTCACCATTTTTAGTCCTGGATTTACAGCTTACAACATCAGCTTTCAGGTAAATACATAATTTGGGCATGCACTTATATTGAGATTTAGCAACCCTAGCTAATAACTATATTAACAAAGTTTTATAATTTTGAATTCTGAATTAAACGTGTCTTAAGAAAATGATGACTTGTTGAGAGCAAATGACCAATGATAAACTTCATTTTACCCAATATCCGTCCATATAAAGAAGCAATGTAAATAGGGACACAAGTCAACCTTGTCAGATAAAGAGTTATAAATAAGTTTTATTAATTCACTAAGGTGTATGCATTTAGACACTTTATATCGTGTAAACTTGAAATTCTTATCATTTCTAATTTCCTACAAGAAGGTAAACAAAGAATTTGTTGTGGTAAGGAAAACGGTGGATAATATTAGTATCCACTTTTGTTCCATGACCCCTAGGACTCTTCATTAGCATTATACACATATCTTTAAATGGTATGGACTTTATATGAGTACGAATTCATGCATCACTCAGTGGTTATACCAGACATAGGCTTTTTTTTGAAAAAACGAATATGTGACAGTCAAAGTGTAACACTCAAGAATATAAAGAGAATAAACAAACCTGTAATTTGGAGACCGTGAAAAAGCAAATTGTGCAAACAGTTTAAAGCGGAGAGAGAATTTATAGTGTTTTGCATGCAATAGAAAATTATATTTTACTTTGTTATAACGAACATTGGGGTGTTTGAGAAAAGAATACAGCACCTCAACCATCTCCAGGAGATGAAGGAGGGCAAGGAGTGGCACTAAAAATATCAAGTGATGAAGCTGCCTTTTATGGTTGTGGATTTTATGGGTCTCAAGACACACTTAATGATGATCGTGGCAGGCATTACTTCAAGGATTGCTTCATTCAAGGTTCTATTGATTTCATTTTTGGAGAAGCTAGATCACTCTACGAGGTTATCGTAAACTCCATACTCTTCTAAATGTTGTTCTTACTTTAATAGTAGTCAAGCAGTGTCACAAAAAATAAAAAATATATATATATATATATTTAGAGACGAAGGGAATATATGTTTGTGGTTTTAGTTAATATATTCACAAGGTAACAAATAATGAGACAAGGTTATTGAAATAAAATGGTTGTATTTTCATTGTAGAATTGCACAATTAACTCGATAGCTGGGAATGCACAAGGGGTGGATGGATCAATAACGGCACACGGGAGACAATCACAAGATGAAAACACAGGATTCTCCTTTGTGAATTGCAACATTGGTGGAAGTGGTAAAATTTGGCTTGGTAGAGCTTGGGGACCCTATTCAACAGTTGTGTTTTCCAAGACATACATGTCCGAGGTTGTTTCTCCTGATGGATGGAAATTGGAGAGATCCCTCTAGAGACTCGTACGTAAATTCTCTCTTTTAAACTTTTTTCCGGAAACATACAATAAGGATACGATAAGAGAAGTAAAGTTTAATTTTAATGAATGAATAAAGATAAATGCAAACATCAAAAAATAAAGATAAATGCAATATATTTCCTCTGTTTCTAATTGATCTCAACACTTACTATTTACACGAAGTAAATGTACACGCGTTAGAACTTATAGCAAGGGACTAAAGTGAGAAGTGTCGAGATCAAATAGAAGATGTTTTCTAACGATTATTATGTGATTGTAACAGGACTGTTTTCTTCGGAGAATATGAATGCACGGGTCCAGGAGCAAGCTACGCAAATAGGGTTTCTTATAGTAAGCAACTTAACCAAAATGAGGCAGCATCATATTTGGATGTATCATATATTGATGGAAAAGATTGGCTTCTTCCTCAGCAAAAACTTTCATTCTACTCAATAGACAGCAACAAAGATGCTGAATCTTTGTAGAATTCATATATCATAACAAATTTTACATCTCGTACTCCGTATTTATCTTACAAACATACTAGAGGTATACTGTTTTTGGTGGAGATAATTGGATGTATGAACTCGTTCCTATTGTGTTAAGGGTTACATTCAGTTCTTTGACTGGGTTTTAACGGACGATTTCAAGGTAAACTGTAAGTACGGTCTTTAAATTTTAATAAAACTAGCAGAATATGCAACCTTGTTATTTTCCAGCATTGTAATGAAGAGAGAAAAAAAATGGAGAAGGAAGAATAATTGGAGCAACTGACATTGGAGGAAGAGGAAGTGTACAGAGTGAGGAAAACAGGGGAGTTAAAAAATTGACTTCTTCAGCGGAAAAGAAAATTATAAAGTGCTATTAATTTGATAAAATTAATTAATTAAGGTGATAATTCACATAAAGAATGTAAACTAAGGTACATTTTGACAAGTTTACCTTAAAACAAACATGAAATTTTGAATCACAAGATCCTCACTTATTAACAAAAAATCCCTATTGGAAATTCTTTGTTGTATGAAAGGCAGAGAAGAGCAAGAGAAGACCGAACTTGACCACCAAAACTCATTTCAATCGATGAAAAATTATTGCTTCATCAATTGACGAATGACATATGGAAGGATTCCACCATGGTCGAAATAGGCGAGCTCAACCTACAAAACAATTTCATACAAATATTATTTCAGAATTTAGCCAAGCACTGAAACAAAACAATCGAATTTTAATTAAAGGATGTTCATAATAATCACCTCTGTGTCGAAGCGGATGGTGCAAACAAAGGACTTTCCATTGTCAGTTTTTACAGTGACATCTTGTCCCGGTCTAATCTCGCTAACTTTTGAGGTCAATTGTGTATCTCTCGTGACCGGTTAGTCCTAATGTTTCGGCATCTTCACCAGCCTTGAAGCATAGAGGGATAACACCCATACCTACAAGATTACTTCGGTGGATCTCTCAAAACTCTTAGAGATCACTGCTTTCACACCCTGTAATCACATTATTTATTCTCCATTATTAGGCATCTTCATACAAACAAGAGCAAAGAAACCTAATACACATTTAAAATCCACTTACCTGTAACATTGGACCTTTGGCAGCCCAATCCCTAGAGCTACCACTTCCATACTCAGCACCGGCTATGACAATGGTTTCATGACCAGCCTCCTTGTACCTCTGCAATTATGATTGAAATTGAATGCATTAAGTCTCATGCAATTAACTTTCCTTACTAACAAAACTAACAAGTCAACATAAGTATCATTTTAAAAGCAATAGAAAAGAGATTTAGTTTTTACCATAGCAGCATCAAAAACATACAACTTATCCCCAGTTGGAATGTGAATTTTGGACCCACTTCTCCATTCAAGAGCTTGTTTACAATGCGAATGTTTGCAAAGGTACCCCTTGCCATCATTTCATCATTGCCTCTACGGCTACCATATGAGTTGAAATCTTTGCGATCAACCCCACGTTCAAGTAGAAACTTGGCTGCAGGACTATCCTTGTGGATGCTCCCCGCCGGTGAGATATGATCGGTAGTTATACTGTCACCGACATTAAGAAGACAATAGGCATCCTTTACTCCAAAAGGTCCAGGTGGATCCAAGCTCATATTCTTGAAATATGGGGTTCATGTATGTATGTGGAGTTTGAATCCCACTTATAGAGGGTGCCAACAGGAACTTCAAGAGAGTTCCACATGGGGTTCCCCTTAGTGATAGCTTCATAGGTACTTTTGAACATGTCAGGCAATACACTTGATTGCACACAACCTACACCAGCATAAAGAGCATTAAATTTCATTTCTCATCATTGAAAACAGTTACTATAGAGCATATTACAAAGGCCATACCTGAGCTATCTCATCATTGCTGGGCCAAATGTCTCTGAAGTAAACACTCTTCCCATCCTTCCCAGTACCAATAGGTTCTTTATCGAAATCAATATCAACCTATAAAATGCAAGATTATTGGGTTAATTGATATTTTTTAACTTTGTGTCCCTTACAATAAAATAAAATAATTGATCTGACGATGAAAGAAATGACAGAAGAAGAAAAGAAAAATAGTTATTTCATTGAATTATGTGTTACTTTATTGGTTCTGCCCTTCATAAAATGAATTATAAGCAGTTGGAATTCTTAATCATATTTTTGTTTCACATGCACAGATAAGTGGAAGACTGTCCCAGACGAGAAAACCTACAATGGTAAAAAGCTACACACTCCTACAAACTATATACCCACAAAACATAACACATGATCTGGACAGGACATTAAAAAACCCAAATTAAAGATGCCTAAGAAGTACGAGTCCATGACAGCAGTGACTGCTGTATTCAGACCCATTCTACACGAGTTGTCCCAAAAAATCCCCTGGGAGAGGCACTAAAACCACTCATTGATGTAATCACCGTCAGAAGCAATACATTTATTATAGAACCAATATCCATCCACAAGAATCCTACACATCTTTATAATCCAATTCACCCAAAGTTGTATCCAGATAGCAAAATGTGTTAAATTTTCTTCACCTCTATATATTCCTTCAGGGTTGTAGGGTTGTTCCTCAAAAACCATTTAATCCAGAAACTCAAGTGCGGCAACAGAAACATATATAACAAGAATACCATCCATTCATCCAACCCTTAGTTTTACCCCCCAGCAAAACAAATTCTTTTAATACTTTACACGGCCTTGAAATTAAAAACTCTAAAAGAACTAGATATTTAATAAGTATTAAATAATTATGCAGTTCCACAATTCAACAAACCTTCAATTTTGTTCAACCTCAAGAAAATGAGGAATTAATGCATTATCAAATACACAACTAAAAATAAGATAAACTTAAACCATAAACAATCTGAGCTCATCCCTGCATCTGTGTCCAGGTGTATTTTAACTATCATAAACAACCATTGAATCTAGATACCATGCATATCCCAAGGCAGTTGTGTACTTACAGTTCCAGCCAATGCATAAGCAACAACCAACGGAGGAGAAGCAAGATAGTTGGCTCGTGTCAAAGGATGAACACGCCCTTCAAAATTACGGTTACCAGAAAGCACAGCTGCTGCAACAATGTCTGTATAAACGAACCAGGCACACAATACACCATGGTGGATTAGAAGCATTTCTTAGTTGTTAGAAAGTAGCCCTAATACGAGCATTCAAGTTAATGCAATGCATGATATAATAATATGGCATCACAAACAAGACATAGACTACACAAATGGCAGCGTCACTGAAAATTCACCATCAACTACTGTATATAAGCATGTTTACTACTTTTTTTACATTTTAAAGACTATATGTAGCTCTGTGGATTTCAGTGATCTCAAGCAGACTTGTAACAAATATCAAGAATAGAAAAGAGACTGAAATAAGAAGCAAAAATATTACAAAAACCAAAAATCAAGCCAACTATTTTTACTTAGAACAATATTTGGATTACATCAAAGAAGTTTATGCTAGAAAGTATCTAAACAGAATAACAGACAGAGCTAAAGCATAATTAACACACACAATGGACATACCATTCTCAGAGATAGCTGCAGAAACAGATTCATGTAGATCACCAGAGTTTCCAATACAAGTTGTGCAACCATAACCAACAATGCTGAAGCCCTGTTGATCCAAGTATTTCTGCAGACCACTATATAAAGCACAAACCGAAAAATAAATGATCCATAAACAGCATTTTGATTAATTTTATTGAAAAATTATGTCATCAATATATGAAAAAAACCATTACCTCTTTTCCAGATATTTTGTAACTACTCCAGATCCAGGAGCCAGACTGGTTTTAAACCCAGGGCTTGACCTGATGACAAAATTATTATATAATTGGCTGAAAAGGATGATAAAAAAAAGCAAAACAATCCACCAAATAGTATGTTACATATGACTTAAAATCTAGTACAATGGCAAAGGGTCAACTTCAAATGCACATATCTCTCAATCCAGAAGTGATCTTGAGGCTCAAGATATTATGTTAAATATGACTTAAAATCTAGTACAATATATAAAACAAAATCACCTCAAGATCACTTCTGGATTGAGAGATATGTGCATTTGAAGTTGACCCTTTGCCATTGTACTAGATTTTTAAGTCATATTTAACATACTATTTGGATTGAGAGATATGTGCATATCTCTCAATCCAGAAGTGATCTTGAGGTGATTTTAACATACCAGATTTTAAAAAGCAAAATCCTCAAATTCAGAGCTTGGTAACATATAAAATCTATAGTCACTAGAACCACCTATCCTATTCACAACAGTCTACAATTTACTTCATTGGTAAAACATTTAACAAGTAGGAATGTAATTGTGTTACAAGATTAATTAGTTTTTATATGTAAAAATAAATATTATTTAAGGAACTTGTTCAATTCATTCAACCGACCACCTTTCAAAAGGCAATCAACCAAGGAATTTACAGAAACATGTCACGGAATTGTTAATGCGTCATCATTCGAATCCTAAGAGCAAGA